AACAATATTAACACTCTTAAACGATCCATTTTATAATTTGGTATACGGTGAAGTATTTTGAAAATAAGAAATGCGAGTATGTATTATCCAAAATAACATGTTAAGCATTTTTAAAGGCATTTTTTTCACTGTGCTAATAGGTCAGGCCAAGCGCAAGTGAATATGTGCGTGTATCCATTACCTTTCCGCTTATCAATAAAGTTTCAAGTTCACACACCAGACACATTAAGTTAACCATTTACGTCTATGCGAGTGCGAAATTAATGAATCTTGAGGATCACCGGTCATTAGATACCCTTAGGTTCTTAAAAAATTAATTTTTATACAGTTTTATAATACTTCTCAAATTAGCCAAACTTCTTTGAAAGTCGGAGAAAGTTGATAATAAGAACGCCTTAGGCGAAAATTTGTTCATCTTATTAGTCGGAAACCATTAAATTCGCATGATACCCTGTAAAAGGGTATAAAAGGGAAAGATAAACGCAATCAGCAGGGTTTTGCACCTTGCTAAGCGGTTCCAGAAACCAGCTTGCAACTGCATTCCATTGAAAAAACCGTCGACGAGCCCCCGGAATAGGACGAAGAAGAAGAGCGTTCCAAGGGCATGAGGTAATTGTGGTGACGGGCGCGAGGGGGAGGGAGAGGTACCATAATACTTTGGTGGTTACTGCTCCCGATCTGGGGCATTTGCAGCTGAGTTATGATTGGTTGTGGCGGATGATCCACATCCGGCTGCAGAAGAAACTAGTTGTGCTGCCCCAGACAATGCGGCCGCGCGCTTTCCTTGCTGTTTGCTATTGCTATGCTTTTGATTGATGATTCATTTGGCGGTGGGGAAAAGCACACGCGGCACTCGTTCAATTGCGTCATCAATGCGGCAAGTTAATTTTACAAAAGCAAATGTGACGTCGCTGCCTGTTTTGCATTGCGAAATTTCACTTTTCTCTTGCGGCGGCCGGCGCAAGCGCTTTTCCGCCGACGAGCCGCCCACCTGCACTTTTCCAATTATATAAGAACAGTCCTTGAATTTAAATGGGGTTAATGCCTTGGAAAATACCAATTATACGCCTGCTAAGTGCACTTTTTAGAAAGGGGAACACGCGGCAGTGGCTAATTGATCGCTGAATCGATGGTGGTAGTTCCAGGAACTCCACATGATGCATAAGCGGGCCTCGAAAGTGGGACAAGGGAAAAGCACGCGAAAAGCGGGTTTTCCGCAGACGCCAGTACTGACACTAAGTTGACCATGACCCCGCACACTTCTTGCAAGTAAACGCACTTGATTTGCTTATTTCTAGACTAAACTTGCTTAAAGTTGAAATATTTACGTTTTTACAGCCGAAAACTTTTGCGTTAGTGGTGGGACTGTTATTGCTAGCGGATGGCCTGGACTGTCAAACATATCGATATCAAACAGATATCGATTATTTGTACAGCTCTGCTGCGCGGTAACACTAGCATACAGAGCGTTTACCTATGCGACTGCAGATGGCGCCACTGTGACGATATCCGAATAGGCGCAATTGTGTATTTCCGTTTATCTATTCAAATTGTTATTACATTTTTCTTAACAAGCATTCGTTTTTCATTTATAAATAAAATTCATAAATAATTTTAAAACCAATGGCCCCAGCAGCTTATTAACTAAAATGAAATAATGATTGGAAGACATTCTGTTTGAGTACTATCCATTTTAGGATCGGGCAAAGTTTTGAAAAGAAAAGCGACTAATACTTAAAGAAAGCATATTATTGGCAATTTCCAACAATGTTTGAAGCCGCCTACATTGTTGTCCACAGCAATAGTCCCGCATGACACAAAAACTGGAATTCAACTGGCACTAAACATTTAATTGATACACACACTAGACAGAGTAACCAACTAATATCTGCTGTACTGATCCAGACAGTAGCCGGTAATTTGGTCCGAAATACAGTCGAAGACATCGAACGCCAGATCGCAGCTTTCACCTCTCTTGGGCAGCTCCTTGCGATTAACTCCGTACCGGGCGGTCATTGTCCGGAGGCAGAGGTTCACGGACCGCAAGGTGGCCATGAAGAATCCGTGCTCGTGCACTCCTTCGGAGTAGAAGTGGACCAGGCCGTCCAGGGTGGGCCAGCCCCTCTGATCGATGGCGTTATTTTTGGCATAGACGCAGTGCAGCAGGCACTGAAAATACGTAGATGGATAGGAAACTCATTTTAAGTTTGGTTGAAATATACAATGGAATACACTTTGAAAATTGTTTATATGCTATAAACTAACTACAGGTTTATTTGCCTCGCCTGCTGAAATATTAAATGTATTCTCAACCTTTTGGATAAGTAACTCATTTTAAGTTTGGTTGAAATATACAATGGAATACACTGTGAAAATTGTTTATAAGCTTCAAACTAACTACAGGTTTATTTGTCTCGCCTGCTGAAACATAAGCACCAATGCATTTTAACATGGTTTCAGAAGAATCTTTATCCCTTGATATATTGCATTTCTACACTGAAATAACTCAAAAACTAAGCTTTGTAATCCTAGTTTATATTCCTAGACGCAATTTGTTTATTTTTAATATTTTTCACTGCACAATTTCAAAGTTTGATCAAAACTGAGGAGCAGAGTAGCCAAACACATAGTCAATCAAAATGCAAAAGTTAAATGCACTCATATATTTCTCACTGCGTAGCTACTTCTATCTGTACATTCAGTTTGCTGATGCATAAAGCCAGCTAATGTGTATTAAGTGCCGCCATAAAGCGCGCTTTTCAGCCATCAAATTCAGCATTGCTGGGAGGTGTGCGAAAAATCTGCGACGGAGGCGTGTGATTTTGAATGCAACTGAAAATGCATTTGCTTTTCTTTCGATTGTCTGAAAACCCTGACTTTAGGTTTTGCTGGGCGAGCTAAAGTGGGGGCTTAGCCAATTGTTTCTTGGGCTGCCATTGAACTTAATTGAGCTTGGCTCATGCATTTCATTAACACGAGAAGAAAAGCGATCTACAAGTCTCGTAGAAGATTCCCTGACTTAACCTTACTTACCCCCGCAATGCGCTTGTCTTCCAGAGGCACCAAAGTGGGATGATATATGCCCGAACTGGCCACATCCAGGCGTCGGATATTCCGCATCAATCTGGCCACATGGCGTTGTGGCTCGGGCTCATCGTAGACTATGTACTCGTAGTGGCTGATGTTGGGAGGATGATCCACGGCAGAGCCCTGGGGCACAGAGGGCCAAATGAAGTCGATGGAGTCATCGTTTGGATCGATGGGCGGCTGATGGTGGGACACCTGCTCCTTGAGAATCTCATAGGCCTCTATATGGGGACTAAAACCGTACAGTACTGGATATGGCTTAACTAATGTGAGGGCCCACCGTTCACCAACTTGTTGCGGACCTCATCCTGGCACTCCCTTATGACCGACTCCACTTTCCTGGCCGTTCTGGGCGGATTCAAGCACTTGGCCTTCTTCGTCTCGAAGCGAATTAGATATTCCACGGCCTCGATCGATGCGATAACCAAGCACGAGATGTATAATAGTTGTGTAATCCTCATGGCTGCGATTAATTGGAGTCTCCACGCCGATCCGTTCGCCTGGGCCGCTGTCAAATGAATGTCCCCCGAAGAAATGGACGCGATGAAATCGAGAGCATTTTCACTTTTTCCAGCCAACCGGGCAGGATGGCCCACACAGGCCACTTATGAATTTCCAGTTTAGGTGTTGCTTTTTCGTTTTTTGAGATTTGCTCTATGGGTATGTGGTTCAATGGCAAACTGCAACACTCCAAGTTCGACTGCAACTGCCACAACTGGTTGCACATTTCCCATGCGTGCAGTCCGTTAGAAACTTGTCCTTTGCGCTCGACCACATGCCTATGTGCCTTTGAACATGGTCATTGGCAGCAGCCACATATCATGACTACAGCTCCATGGCTCTCCGATCGCATTAGGTTTCGTTCCATTGTCGCTGCGGTTGTGCTTATGTTCGGAACGCACTCGCTCCGATTGAGCGCACAATTAACCAATTGGTGAACTCTTCCGCCTTCTGACCAATTTGCATAGGGCCGAAAAACAACGGCTGTAAAGATTATCAAAGGCGGTAGTGGATGTGAATATGGGCTAGCCAGAGCTATAAACTGTAAACTATAAACTATAACCATAGTCATAGGCAGCCAAGCGGGGCGGTCTAATCAGAGGATACCAACACATCCCCATCGAGAACCCAGAACAATGGCCCATAACTGTTCTTGGAAGTGGCCAGCGTCGCCACGCTAATTATGGCTCATTAAAGTGACCAAGATGCAAGATCCTAGGCGGAAATTGTCATAAGGTTCTCTGGTTCTCTGGTCTCCTCCAGCCGACGGGTAATTGCCTTTAATTGCATACCTGGCCAAAAATTGCAGCTAAGACACTGACCCAGACTCGCTCTGGATCGGATTTGTAATAAGCTCCGGCTAACGGAAAATGCTAAATGGAAAATTGATTCCCCAGCGATGAAGTTCAATGTTCAGCGTTTCGCGAATTGTAAACTGCACAGAGCGGGGATTGTGGATTGTCAACAGGAAGCTCTCCAGGTTGCAACTTCGGGGAACAAGAACAACGTGAGCTAATTGACAGACAGCTACACAGGCACGATTTTCCATTTTCCGCTGGCCATTTCCCGCGGCTTTCACCCTCCCAATTCCCCTCGCCCCCTCAAACTGGCGAACAAGGAGCCATAAAATAAGAGAACACAGCAGCAGCTGCAACAACACTTGCGTGTCCATCATTAGAACGAATTCTCTCACCTGGGCCCCGCGCCCACTTTCCGCCTTTTCTTGTAACGCAATTTGCACACAAATGCTGCTGTTTCATCTTCGTGGCTTTGGCTCTTTTTGGTGGGTGGTCAGGTGAGACAAGCACCACCACCAGCACCACAGCTCCACTAGCACCACCATCAAACGCCGCACGAACCGATCGCTGGCCGCCTGAGAATCGTATTTAAATACGAAGGTCTAACGCTGGATCGCATCAGTCGTCGCCGTCGCGTTGTTCTAGCCGCTAGCTCCTCTCGAAGATCGCACGCCAAGTCGGAGTTTAAGTCGGGATCCAGGCTCGGATTGGCAGACGATCGAATCGCATCGAATCGGATCGGTTGGGAGACAATCGAAGTTCATGTGGTGACTGTGCACCTGGAACAGGATGCCCGTTTGATACTTGTTTCATCTCTGGATTGGATTAAAACAAATGCGATTTGAATGATGCTGCATCTGCATCGGCACGCGAATTTCCTCCTGTTTCTCTGCGCAGTTTTGGGTTACTTTGCGGATCCTGCGAGCGCCGATATCGAGTACAATACCATCAACGAGGATGGATCTTTTCAGTTTCGGTACAAAGATGTGTGACGAGTTATGGTGAACATTTCAAAAGCACATAAGCACTGAGAAAAAAGTGGCATTAGGGCTAAAATGCATATTCTGGCAACACGCAGTGGCTCAAACAATTTGATGACAAGTTCTTGTTATAATTAAATTTAAATGTAGTACTCAGTACTTGGGGAAAATTACAATATTTTCAGCAATACTAAAAAGTCAGCAGAAAATGTCGCAGAAACTGGGTCACTTTAAAATTTACTAGACTAGGAATACGACTTAAAACTTCACACTAAAAACAATTCGCATTGAAATTGCCTAATAATCTGAATACTAACTAACTAACTGTTATATTAAAGCGTTAATAGTAGGCGATTGGCCTTTTAATACATGACTGCAGCAAATTAAAAGTAGTGAGTCTTGGAATTGAGTCGTAGCCTTTGAAAATGACCTACAACCTCCGCAGTTCGGTGGAATGTAAACCCTCAAAGAGAACGACTCAATTACAGGCTTCTTAGCAGCCATGGGTCATAAATCTAACAAATCATCTAATCGGTCAAAAAGGTAGCTGCCAACCATCACACCCGAGCAAATTTGAGATTTTTAGCACCTCTTTAACGCCCAACGTTTTGCAACCACAACAATAACACGCTTCCGACCTTTCCGATCTTTCCTTCCATTTCGCTATTTCGCACGCATGGGGCAACGCAATTACTTCGGTTTCGATGGACACTCCCGGCATGGATAATGGAAAATGGATAATGGCTTTGGTACTGCTGCCACCGATCGGCCAAAAGACATGCAAATGATGACATTGGCGGCTACTATCACAGCGCCGCGGGCACTCCGGACAACTCGGTGCGAGGTCGCTACGGTTCGCGGAGTCCGGCGAGCGGGCAGATCGAGGAGACGGTCTACACGGCCGGACCACGTGGGTGAGTAATCGAAGACGGCAGCGATGCCAGTGAGTAAAGTGCGGTGGTGCACTGCGAGAAAGCGGCCCTCCAGGTGCATAGTCGTATTTTCATGACTTTTGAAAAACTCCTTTACAAATTATAGCCCAAGAGTTTACCTAGAATATAAAGTGATACAAAATTAACTTTTCAGATCTGATCGTTATTCATTCGAACAATCTAACTAATAGAGTTGTTTACTCTACTTGTTAAAACCAGAACAGATGCTACTCGAAATTGTGAAACTAAGAAAGTATCCAGACATATTAAACATATATTAATTCAAATATTTTCGAGAGTAATTGCGCACTCCTCTGAAAACAAACATTTTTTTCCCAATTCTGGGCCCTTAAATGACTTAGAAGTAACTTCCTTAAGGTCGCTGATTTTTCTGAGTGTACCTGCGGCGGCGGAAGTGGCAGCACAAAGTGAGTTATCTCCCCTCGATGGCGGAGTTGAGCTCATATATCAGCGGTTGGCGGCAGGCGGCGGCCACTGAAGCGAAACCCAAACAAACGGAGGGGATCGTGGAGGTGGAGCCGTTCTAGCACATTGGACTGCTTTTTCTGGCGTTGCCTAAACGCTTTTCCATTACCGCCTCGGCTACTGTTGTTTTTGCAATCTCCGGTAAATTGGGGAAACAAAAAGCTGTTAACAAATTGACTGGCCCAAAGTTCCGAGCAAAAACGGAATGGATTGTAGATGGCAGATGCTCAGCGATAGCGATGATTCTGAATGGGATCGTTCCCCGAGACGTGTAGTAATCGAAGTAATGGCGTGCCGGGCTGAGATCGAATCTATATTCAAAATTGCAGTGCGAGTCCGCTTCCGCTGGAAGGGTTTACCCAATCCCCAGTCATTGTGTCGGCAGCTAATGAATCCCCCCATTTCCCACATAGATTTCGCGTGAACGGACCGAAAATCCATCGGAAAATGGACCTGGCCCAGTATCCGGTTCTGCCGCGTGGCAGTCCAGACGATCCGCTGGCCGATCCCTTTGACGATCCGTCTTACAGCTTCAGTTTTCGCACTCCGGATCAGTCGCGCAGCGAGGAGAATGACTCGGGTAACAGGATTAGGGGTGAGTTCTGCGGAAGTGCATCTGTATAATATACTGTATATAAACTAATTCAATTCTAGGTCTGTACTCCTACTTGGACGACGTGGGCGAGCGGCATAGTGTTCGCTATGCAGCTGGAGCCGGAACCGGATTCGAGATCTCCAACGCTGTGCCGGACAGCCCATCAGTGGTGGCCTACTCCAGTCCTCTGTACAAGTCCCACCCCAAAGCGCGTGGCAAGATGTCTGTGCAAAGGGGACCGGCGGGCAGTTATAAGCTGATCGCCTCTGGTTCGGATCACCGACGAGCAGAAAGTCGAGCTCCCGATGGCCTGGTGAGGGGCACCTACTCCTTCCTGGACGACAAGGGCGTGCAGCGGACAGTGGAGTATATAGCTGGAGCAGGAATTGGCTACCGGGTGGTGCAAAACCGCATTGGTCCTGGAACCCACATCAATCCCTCTGTGGCTGATTTTCGTCTGGCAGATCCGGATTTCCGACTGGCTAATGATTTTGGCAGGGGTGCAGGTGGTGGCCTAGGTCCGAAGGGAGGTGGAGCTGGATCGGGTGGTGGAAGTGGTGGTGGTGCATTGGGAGCTTCAGGTTCAAGTGGCGGGGCTGGTGGAGCGGGAAGGGGCCGTGCTCCTGGCAGACCCGGCGGCAAAGATTACCTGAAGCCGGCTGATGGGGCAAGAGATAGGAGTCGTGGAGAGGGTGATGCAGGTGGCGCTGATGAAAGCCTGGGACACCATGCTGGCAACCAAGGGGATGACATTGGACTAAGCAGCAGCTCCTCCGGTTCCAGCAACTTCAATGGCAAGGAAGATCGAAGAGGGTTCCCCGCGGGCAGTTCCCAACGGGGCAGTACTAGGTACGATGGCGGAGGCGATAGCTCACAGAGAGGAGGTTCTGGTGGCTCCACCAGGAACAGTGCTAGTGGGTCCCGAAACAGAAACCGGTTCGGCGGTGGTGGAGGAAGTGCGTCCTCTGAGAGGGGAGCAGGAAGAGGAGATGCTGCCGGTGGGGGAGGCAGTCGCCGAGGAGGTGGAGTCGGAGCCGGAGCCTCCAGCGAAGGCGACTCCGGCCTGGGCTACCTGCCGCCCACAGGTGGATCGGGCACTAGTGCCATCAGCGGACCCGGAGACAATTACCACCTCAACGACGACGATGTGGGCAGTTCACTGCCTCCTCTGGTCACCGCCAACCACCGAATTCTGGAGATCGATCGGGATCGGGAGTGGGTGCAGCGGCACCGGGACTCCACCGTGATCAAGAACGTGGGCAAATGGTACGTGGGCCTGCCGCCTGGCCAAAGTGTGCGTGCCCATGTCCAGAACATCGACATAATACCCTTGGGCGGTAGGATCGGTCTCTCGCCGTCGGAGGCACTGCGTCAGGACGAGATCGCCGAGCTGAATGCCTCAAGGGAGCACTGAGGCAATGAGCACTCGCTGGCCCCCATTGGATCTGTAGTTTGTAGCGCCTAGCTCTAAGTGATCAGTGTTGAGCAACCGAAACTGGGTTGACTCCACATGGAAACTATAGCAGTATTTAAAGCGGAATACATTTTTTGTCTGTATCTGTGTCTCCAACTGTATCTGTATCTCTGGCAAACAGTTATATGATATCCGTGGATGCGGCTATATGCAGGTTAATGTGCACACTGCGGTTTCTTTGAATCTGCATATAACCCCGTGACTTAGCGTGATCGCAGCTTAGTTGTTTCCGAGACCCAAACAAGATGCTGCTGCTTTGGATGGCATTGCTGACAGTTTCCTGCGCTCAAGGCGCGCAAGTGTATATGCAGTTCAATGGGCAAGGATACTCCTACAACACGGATGGCGATAGATTGGATAGGAGTGTCGTTGCCCCCAGCTTTGTGGCATCTTCTCTGGATGCCTTTGGTCCACTGAACTTTGTGCAGCAGGCCTTGAGGACAAGGCACCATCCACTGCCCAGGATTTCCTACAATGCGCAGGATAATCTGGCGGAGGCAACTTCCTTGCTGAGTAGCGGCTACCAAGCAGCACCGACCAACCAACTGAAGCCCCTGCAAAGACACCAAAACTTTGATTTCAGCACCGACCAGATGTCGCATGCCCAGCACACCGATGAGGCGGGAAATGTTTTGGGCAAGTACTCCTACTACGATGAGGCTGGCTACCACGAGCTGAGCTACAAGGCGGGCGCCGGCATCGGATTCGTGGTCATGGGTGGCAATTTGGCCAAGGCCTCCGCTGCTGAACCGCACTCGGAAATCGGAATCGGAATCGGAAACGGAATCCACACAAATGCCTTGACTAGCCTGCCAGAGTTGCATAAATATCGTGGCTACACGTAAATAAAATACATTAGCCAAAACTATTGCTCGTTCTACTTGGGTGTTTTCGTTATTTACTGCAACTCTTTGGAGATCTGACAGTGTCACCTGTCGTGTTTGACACCTACGTGATCGGGAATCTGAACTGCCAGCGTATGTCTAGGAATGAATGACTGGTAACCAGAGTTCGTCCAAAGAAAGTGCTGCTTCCTTGCTTGGATACAGAATGTAAGCCACAATTACACATTGTAGAGAGCTCTGCATTTCAAACTTTGTTTGCAACACCCACATACATTAACATTTATAAAAGTATTGTATCTAAAATGCTGGGCCAAAGATATATAAATTGTTGCCATTGTAGAACTTGGATGATGATCAAGCAAATTGCTTTGATTTTTTATAGCCCCAAAATATTATTCTTCGTTTTAAGAAGCAGCATAATTTACAAAAATAACTTTAACTTTTATTGGTATAGGCATACATATTTTTCAACGTTTTACCCCAGAAATGTTTGCATAAGGTAGATAAGGGCAAACTTTGTCAGTTTCTGATCGTAAATGATTGTAAGAGCTTAATTGCTGGTGGCGCGTGCTTTGGCACGACGCAACTGCGGCGATTTATGCATGTTATAAGCCCTAATTGATTTTCCGATCATAAAAATGGTTATTCGGCCGCACCAAGTCATTTTACAAATGGGCAGTGCATCCCAAAGCCAAATTGAGTCAGCTCTGTGGCTTGTTTATTTTTGTTTGGGTAATTTCAAGTCCGAAAGGGACCAATATAATGCAGCATTTGAAATGTTCGACGCGTGCGCGCACTTGCCAAATAATTTGAATCGAACGGAAAGCCTTGGCGTCCACAGCGTGGCCTAAATAAAATATATTTCTGGCCGCGCGAAGCCAAGAAAAGCCCATAAGCAACAATAATATGCATATTTGCCAAAACAAAGAGTTATTACATGGGCCAGTTTGACCGAAAGTTTCACTGCCACAATTAAGTTTCATGTCAAGAGATCTGAGCTAGTGATTTCCCTGAAACAAGTTCCTACGCACTCGAAAACTTTCTTCGCCGATTGCACTAAAAGAACGTACAGAAGAGCACTAAAAAGCTTGCCACTGACATAGATTCTATTTGGCCGGGGCTTTGGTCTAGGGCTTGTACGACTGAAATGGCCACGTTCTCAGCGTAGAAATCAATGGCTCACCTGGGAAGTAGCCGAGGTGCATAATTGGGTTAACGTAGCAGCTGAACGGCCTGCATTGAAACCACAAATTACTGGGGCTCCGGCTCTCAGGTGCTCTCCCAGGTGCCAGTTAGCTGTTTCTGCTTATTTTCCCCCTCATAAACAACGGTTTGGGCTGGGATTCTCCTCCTCGCCGAAGGTCAGACTTAATTGGCCCGGGCCTAGGCAACGACATCCCACTAGCAGTCCCGTTTCGTCTGCATTTATAAATAGGCCCCAAGGTCTCTGGGTCTTGGCTCTTCAACTCCTCGACTCCTCGACTCGCTCTTCGGCTGCTTGGATTTCTGCCCGGGTTCGATTTATCGCCTTTTGATTGCTGCATTCCAATTGTGGATCAAGTTGTGCGTGTGGCGCATTCGGGCTTACAACGTGTTGCTACTAATTTCGTATGCTCCCTTCGGCTCTGCGCACTCGAGACCATAAATCTTGTGGCAATTTTATTGATGCCTGCGTGTGCCACAAAGGTCGACCCCCCGTTCGATGCTGGTTAATCAAGGAATAGGCATTATTGCTGCCTGAACTGCGGAGTCGGTAGCTGGCTGCTTGGCGCATAAAGACCAATAAAAGAATAAAGTGCAGCTGGATCACAGCAAAGTTAATCAGGAAATTAATGGTGCTGGGCTAATAAAGACTTTGGGCTGCAAGGAAAACAAATGACTTAGGGCACGAACCTGAAATCAATTTCTCTGACTTCAGACATTTGTAATTTATGATTATCGATCGAAAACGGAACGAAGCTAAGTCCTAATCTTTTGATACCCGAGAAGTGTGTGAAGTCTGCTCGCCGAAGTGAATGTCAAATCAGAAAAAGAACGCGACTCTTGCGCCACTTTGTGCGAAAGTTATTAACGAGTTCCAGGCAAACATTTTAATTGAATTGCTCGCCAGCCGATCGATTCATTCATCACGGTAAGTCTCTTACCATTTTGGCTTATGTCATGTTCTGGGCCCGTTCCGAGCTGATTACCTCTCCACTTCCCACACGCATTTCGCTTCTATTCTTGTGGCTCACTCCACTTGTAATGGGCAGTCACTTCGCTCCTGTCCACTCACACTCAATCAAGCCAATAAACGGCCAATTAATCAAAGTCAGCGCTGTGGTTCTGGGTTCTAGCCGGCTGCCAGCTGCTAGGTGCTAGGTTGCGAAACAGTAGTCCGAAGAAGCGCCTGTCAGCAAATGTCTAATCAAATGCTTGTGAAATATCTGACAATATGTTAGGCAAGCTATTTGCCTAACGCAGGGGACCTGGGAAGATTTCGATCAGCGAAATCCTAGAGTTGTAAGCCTGCATATCAATTGGAGTTGTGCGCCCTGGAGCTGGTAACCAAATCCCACAGATCCACGGCCCCAGATAAAAGCCAGGCCAAGGCGCTCGACTACGTGCCCAACTCGCGGACTTCTCTTCGGCTCTCTCTTCTGCCCAAAACCCAGTTCTCTTACACCTGATCGGGCCCTGTTTTCTTGGCCATTTCTTTCGCTTCGTCGTTTGCATCGCTAATGGAAATGTTATAAACAGACGCGCTGGGCCCGGCCAGCACTCAGTTCATCTTCAGACGTCGCCTGGCTCGCTGGCTCTTGGTTCTTGGTAGGCGTTCCCTTTCCATACCCTATTTATTGTGCGTGACAAAAAAAAAAAGAATGTTTAAACAACGGAACCTGAAAGAATCGTAAATTGAAAGCTCAGCAGGATTGGTTTTTAGTGCTTTTAGTGTGTGTGATTTTGCCGCGTGATAGCCCAGAGTGCCACTCATTCCGTTTCTCGTTTGCAGTTCAAGGATATATTGTCAAGGCGAGGATTGGTCAACGCTACGAACACCAAGAATTTACTGAAAAATCAGACACCATTCACCAGAACTCCGCGTTAAAATGCGCTTCCTGGTAAGTCAGGCCGAATGAAAAAGAAAATTAAATATCAAGTCAGGCCGAATGAAAAAGAAAATTAAATATCAAGACTTCACTCAACATATTCGGAATACAAAATGAAACTAGCTTACACCTGACCGCAATTAATCATGTATTGCTCTATGCCGCCGCTGAACCCATTAACTCGTCAACTGGCCCAAGTTCGTGCCTTAAGTCTTCTGTGTTTTTCACTTCTGAATTGCCACTAACTTTCACTAAGCGACATATTTGATTCTTGGCTTGGTTCTTGGCCATTTTGGTCGCCTTAATTAGCCCTAATTATGCTCTGTGCCATATGCAAATATTAATAACATGGCTAAAATTATACTGGGCATTAAAATAATCACAATCACAAATCAATTTATATGCAAAGAACTCTATTGGGGAATCTTTTTTATTACTGCGAGAGGCTAATACCTCGTTGTGCCAGTTATTGTTTGTTTAGTAAAGATGTTTCAAAAGGGTTAGTTCTTTCTGAAAAGTGAAACCCTTTTGTCCATCCCATTTGAACGTGACAATATTCTAGCCCCACCCCAATTTAAAAAGTGAGAATTACCCATTCATACCAAGGCAGTATTGTTCCTTGCATTATTCATATTCCCATTAAGAAAAGCATACCCTTAAAAGTCAAAACTCATCAGCGCCTGTCCCATAAGCAACAATACCATTCAATTATAACCATAACCAATACAACCACTTGTGCCTAAAGCCCAAAAAATAATTATGACTCGAGGAACATAAAATTAATATGCCGCAAACGTATAAAAATCATGCGTGGGCTAACAAATGGTAATATAAGTCTTCTGCCAAACAACCGAGCACATTTGTGTAGGGTTCTTAGCTATAAGTGCATTACTTTGTTTTTGAGTTTGTGATCGTTTCGATAGTGGTTCATAAATTAATCAATTTATGAGTATAGACTGTTAGCCACACGTCCCAAGTCCATCAGTCCGCGCCCAATTAGCTCCGTTGGAATGGCTCAATGGAATATCATTTAAGACCAAGAGACACCTGATCTGATGCAGAGAACAGGAGACAGGCCCATTTATATCTCGTTTGAGAACATAAAATGCTGCGCTTAAACTTTGCATTCGAGCCATTAACCCAGTTTATTTTTGGACAGGGCACACCCAATACGGGGTCGAATCGGTATCGTTATGGGAGGCAATATAATAAATAAGGCGATACTCACAAAAGAAAGCAGACTGAAATACATCTTGCTGCTTGGGGATGCAAGAGATCTTGCAAATCAATGGCAACCAGGTTCGACAGCCTCTGTGCCACAATCTCTTCTCTCGACTTAAGTTTCGGCCCCGAAAACGTAACAGCCGCCTAGAGGTTCAGGTCAATGACACAACACGAGCCCCGACTTCAGATCCAGCTTTGGCTTGGCTTTGGCTTTGGCTTGGCGTTGGACTCAGTTCCTCTCGGCTTTGTGACACTTCGGTGGTGATAGATAGGCGTGCGGGCTGCTCGATTCCACCGGCTAACGGTTGCGTCAATATTGACTTTGCCAAAGATGTGGAGAGCCGGCGAGAGTGAGTCAAATATTTGCCGATCGTGAGGTTCTTGACAATCATGTTCGAGGGAAAATCCGGCAAGTACTTAAGCCGTTCCTTGCCAGCTGGCTCTCACTTTTCGGCTTAGCGTTCAGCAGCGCAAGAAATTATGCAAATGCGCTGGAGGAGCAGGGAGAGGGGACTTCGCGAGGGACTTGACCGCATTCCACTTGTGTGACTTTTGCATCCATTACGACATCGGAATACAGACACCCTATCTATTTCCAACCGGAATAAATCATGTATTACTAATTTATTGTCACACATTGTCTTTCAGCTCTCAACACTGCTTCTGGCCTCTTTGGCGCTTGGCCAGGCTCAACAGC